CGCGCCCCCTCCCCCTCTGTCTGGCCCCCTCCGCCCCCAGCCCCAGCGCCCCCTGCCCCTCCCCCCAGACGGGCAGCTATTTACAGAGCTTCGGGCCGCGGCTCACACCTGAGCCGGACCACAGAGGGGCTGCACCTGGCCTTATGGGTAGGTCCCTGGACGGAGCCCTGGGGATACCGGGGGCGGGGAGGTGGCAGGGCCGGTGGGAGGGTCCCCGCAGCCCTCACTATGGCAAAGAGTCAAGTCAGCCTTCCTGGCCTACCTGAGCTCCGGGGGGTGCTCACTTGGGTCGTCCCATTCACTTTCGTGTTTAGGAGCTTCAAGGCCCTACTCTTCACTGGCCTCATGTGTCACCGGGCACGCTCAGGGGACTGGAAGATCAGCCTTGGTAGTGGTAACTGCAAGCTGGGAGCAGACGGCCCTACTGAAAGCTGTAAAGAGTTGGGTTGGAAGCAGCCTGGGCTGTAGCTGTTGGCAGATGGGTGCCTGGCAGATCCTGTTGACCGGTGTGCCTTCTTGCGGTACCATGTTGGCCTCAAGGCCCTACCAACTCTAGGACTCTGGAGAGGGACAGTTTCCTCCCACAATACACGCCAATATTCTTGTAACACTAGGCCGGCATCCAGAAAGAAGTGGCGGGTGATAGCAGAGAGTAGTGCTAACCCTCAGGTTCGAGAAGGGTAGCCTGGTGTCTTATGATACTGAGATAGCCCAAAGCCGCATGGGCTTGGGGCAAGAGGCAGTTAGACCTCTGACCTTTGGAATGGGAGTCGCAGAGGGAGGTGGAGCTGGTACAGCTGCCTGAGGAGGCGGGACTGGACAGGGAAGCTGTGGGCAGCAGGGTTACCAGCGGCTTTCCTGGGCCGGAGGATCCCTAGGCCGAGCAGCTTTCTTGAGTCATGGGTATTGGGGGATGGTGTTGTGTTCCGCCTGGACCCTGCTCAGTCTCGGGGCTTAGAGACAAAATGCTAGAGCCCCCTAGTTAACCCTTCCCTTTCCTATTGTCTGCTTGGGGGGTAGGGGTAGTGAACGTGGGAAGGAGGGTGGTTCTACTGCCAGGCTCCCTATTCTAATGAGCCCCTCCCCCACTGGCCGTGCTGCCCCTTCTTCCCCTTTCCTCTGGCCTCCTGCTGCTAACCCCCTCTGCTGTGCTGGTCCTGGTGGAGGCCCCCTTCCTCCTCTGCCAGCCCAAGCTGTGTTGGGCACATGTTCAGCGCTGGTGGATTGGGGGTGCTATGCAGCTATCAGCAGCAGCATCTGACTAACGGGGTGGGGGGAAGTTGTGGGAGAATTTTCACCAACTGTGGTGAAGGGGTGAGGAGAAAGACAAAGGAGCTGTGGGAGAATAATAAGGGTGATGGCAGGCAGGACTGTCTTAGAGACTTGGCAGCCTGGGGAGGAGCCTTCGCCTACCAGCTACTCCTTGCTATGGAAATGGTATCAGACCCTTTCCCTCTGCAAGCCGCATGCCTCATGCTGGCTGAGGAGCCTCACGGGTCCTGCACACCAGGTCTTTGGGTCTTTGGAGGCAGCCACATAAGGCAGGGTCTGTCTTGGCTGTCAGAAGTTCTAGAAAGCATGGTGGGAAGAAAGAGACAACATCTGGGCAGGGGTGTGTATATCTTTGTGTGTAATTTGCAGATAGTGATTCCAGACGAGGAGATAGCTTCCATAGCTTCCAAGGAGATAGCTTCCGGGAGAAAGGACTTGCCTGAGGGCCCAAATTGGTGCGCCTTTGTGGGGGGGCGGTGGCTAATTGATGGCAGAAAGGGGAAAGCAGCAGGCCAGGTGAGGGTGAGGCTGGGGAAGGTTGAACAATTGCCCTGCCTTCTTTCATTCCCTGGCCAAGAGCTGGCCTTCCACCTGGGATTTGTTGAACCAAGAGAAAACACTCAGAATTGCCACCCTCTGTTTTAGGGATCACCGAAAGAAAAGGGGTTGGGTTGTTGCCCTGAGGCAAAAACATGAAGATTGGAATAAAATGTTACTAGATCGTTCACCTCAAAGGTGACCCTGCGAGCAGCTTTGCTTTTGTCCTTGTGGTGCGGTGATCGGCCTTCGGAGCATCCTTGGAGTCTTGGATGCATACTGATTCAGGCTCTTAATGGGTCAAGAAAAGTGACCAGAAACCTTGAGTTTGAATGTTTAGGTTGGAACGGCTCTTAAGAAAAGGCTGGGCCAGTCAGTTGCCATGCCGACGGGATGGCAGGGCACATAGACACTCTCACTAGCTCCTGATCTCCTGATATGATTCTAAGTTTTCGGATCTTTTAAAAAATTACATTTACTCAAGTGTGCTTCCTCCCAGCCTCATGGTATGACAGTGGAGATGAGGGGGCAGCTGGCTGGAGTTGGTCCTCCTGCCAAGTGAGGCCTGAGGCCCAAGTTCAGTTCAAGCACCTTCACCTGCTTAGCTAGTTCCCCCACCTCCCCTTTTCTTTTAATCTTGAGAGTTAGCTGCCATAGCTCCACCTTTCGTGGGGAAAGCAATGGGGGTGGGGCTTTGGTAGAGCACACATGTAGAAGTACACAAGGCTTCAGGTTCAGTTCTTGGCACAGATTTTGAAAAGGTTGGGCCGGGCACGCTGGTGCACACTTTTGATTCCAGCAGAATCTCAAGAGACAAGATCAGCCTGGCCTTCAGAGTGAGTTCCAGAACAGCCAAGGCTCCACAGAGGAACTCTGTCTCAAAAACAACAGCAACAAACAAAAACAGAGGAAAGGCCATGGTCCCTTCTCTCTGCTCTCTCCATCTCCAGCTGGTATGGTGAAAATGGGTGCAGAGCCTTGAATTTTGAGGATGGGTGCTCAGGTTTACTGATGGAGGTGAGCTGATTGGTCGCCAGAACTTGGCATCGAGCCTGTACTTCCATAGAGAAGTCTTAAGCAGTGGTTTGTTTGTTGTTGTTTGGTTATTTATTTGAGACAAGTCTGTCTATTATATTTAGCTCTGGCCATCCTGGAGCTTACTATATAGACCAGACTGGCCTCAAATTCACAGAGATCCACCTGCCTCTGCCTTCTTAAGTGCTGGGTGTGTATTAAAGGTACATACCCAGCACGCCTGGTTTTGAACAGGTTCTGAGAAGGAATTGGGCTCGAGGGCCTTCGTGTCAAAAGTGATTGAGGGGAAGGGTGTGGACTGTTCCGTGGGAGAATAAATGAGAGTGGCTGGTTTATTGGGCACGTGGCAGACAGCTCCTGATCAGTGTGCTCCACAGAGAGCTGAATGAGTGCACATACTGATGGTCAGAAGGCGCACCTGTAGCAGCACACAGTCTGCTGGCCGTGTAATGAGTGAACCTAAGCGGCATCTGCACAGGGACAGGCATTTGCAGTGTTCTCTTGTTACATTGTCGGAGCAGATCCAGGGCATGGACTCTTTCCTTTTCTTTTCTTTTCTTCCTCTTCCTCTCTCTCTCTTTTTATTTTTTTTTTATTTTTATTTTTTTTTTATTTTTCGAGACAGGGTTTCTCTGTGTAGCTTTGGAGCCTGTCCTGGAACCAGCTCTGTAGACCAGGCTGTTTCACAGAGCTCCACCTGCCTCTGCCTCTGCCTCCTGAGTGCTGGGATTAAAGGCATGTACCACCACTGTCCAGTGGATGTACTCTAAGAGATGACCCACAGTTGTGGTCTGGAAACTAGGCAGGAAGGATTTGATCACCAAAAAGACTGAGGAAAATGCAAAGCTCACATTCTCAGATGGGAAGCTGAGAACCTTCCCGGAGCAGTGTTGCTCAGATACCATTGGAGATGCTAGCCCTTCTGGTGTAAACCTGTAACCCTATAATTTAAGAGGTAGAGCAGGAGGATCAGGAGTTCAGGATCATCCTCGGCTACAAGCATGTTTGAGGCCAGCCTGGGCTACATGAGCTCCTGTGTCGAAAAAAAGCCAAAGGGTAGACACATGGCGAAGATGGCGCTTTCCTGGGGGCAGGAGGGAGAGTTGAGTAGGCCTTCCAACTTCAGCTGCTCTTTACTTGAGCTGCTATCTCCAGATCACTGATGGAGGGTTGGAGAGTCTCTGAGTGTCACAGAGCCTTGCTCGTTCCTGGAGAGGTCAAGGTGACTTCCTGTCCCTATTTTCCCCAGGCTGAGAAGAAAGCCAAAGTGATTGCAGTGATGAACGCTGTAGAAGAAAACCAGGCCTCCGGAGAGCCTCAGAAGGTGGAGGAGGCCAGCCCTCCTGCCGTGCAGCAGCCCACCGACCCTGCGTCCCCGACTGTGGCCACCACCCCTGAGCCTGTGGGGGCTGATGCTGGAGACAAGAACGCCACCAAAGCAGCTGACGATGAACCTGAGTATGAGGTGAGCAGGTGGCCTTGCCGCTCACTCTGGGCTCCGGGCTCCGGGCTCAGGGGTCTCATCACTGCAGCTGCTCCTCCCTCTTTCCTCATGCCGTCTCCTCCTGGCTGCTTGCAGCCTTCATGGGGATACTGACTGACTTACTTGGCTTCGCCCTCTATATTCCCACTGAACTTTCTCTTCTCCTTCCCTCAGGCCCAGGGCTGGGGTTGTGCGCTGGGAGGTTTCGGGGTGACTGGGACTTGTGACTGCTTTTTAAATGACTTTTGCTCCTTGGTGCTCCAGGATGGCCGGGGTTTTGGCATTGGAGAGCTGGTGTGGGGGAAACTTCGGGGCTTCTCGTGGTGGCCAGGCCGGATTGTGTCTTGGTGGATGACAGGCCGGAGCCGAGCTGCTGAGGGCACTCGCTGGGTCATGTGGTTCGGAGATGGCAAGTTCTCAGTGGTGAGTTGGGCTCTTGGTGGTCAGGAGGTGGGGGACAGAATAAGAGGGCTTGGTTCTGTGGCCTAGATTCTGCTCGGTGCAGAATATTCTAGAATAAGGGCATTAAAAATACACTGTATTTGCCCTCCTGTATGGATTCAGTGGAAGAAGCCATAGTGGTCATTGAACTGAGCAGAAAGGTTGCTGGCCTATCCCTTCCCCAGGGGCGCTTCAGTATTTTCCCACTCTTGCTCTGAGCTCCTCTGTTTCTGTTTGTCACTTTTGTCAATGCCTCTGGTCCCCCAAGGGCCCAGTGACTCTCTAGTGTTCTCTTGGTTAGCAGTTACTAGGTACATGGCTTAACTGTATAGGGAACAACTGGATATGGTAATTCTACTGAAGCTGGAGGATCACAAGTTCAAGACCACCCTGACCTACACCAAGAGTGCCAGGTTGTGCAGTTGTAGGATAAAACCATGTCTCACAGGAGGAACAAACTGAGGGTGGCTTTGTCCGTAGGTGTGCGTGGAGAAGCTCATGCCACTGAGCTCCTTCTGCAGTGCGTTCCACCAGGCCACCTACAATAAGCAGCCCATGTACCGCAAAGCCATCTACGAAGTCCTCCAGGTGAGCGTGTCCCCAGCAGCTCTGGGGAGCTTAGCTGGTGGGGCTTCCAGGACTCCTGGAAGTTGGAGCCTGCTTCTCCTGGACTGAAGCCGTTGGGTGGGGACCTCCACTCTCCCTCCCGGCAGTTCTCCTGCCCACTGCCTGTCTATCTTTGCTGCTCTGGCTTGGGTTTTTCTTGTCATCTAATCTGTCCCTTCTTTTCCATGCTAGGTGGCCAGCAGCCGTGCTGGGAAGCTGTTTCCAGCTTGCCATGACAGTGACGAAAATGACTCTGGCAAGGCTGTGGAGGTGCAGAACAAGCAGATGATTGAGTGGGCCCTGGGGGGCTTCCAGCCCTCTGGTCCCAAGGGCCTAGAGCCACCAGAAGGTAAATGGTCTGTTCCAGTGCATCCTGGACCGGAGCTACAGAGACCCCACAGTGAGGCAGATAGAAATTGCGTCCCAGGCTCCTGTCACCCCAAGGGTGTGCTACTCTGCCTTTCCAGAGTGCCCTGTCACCCTTTGGCTCACCAGAACCCCAGAACTGGGGAGCGGGAAGGAAGCATCTGGGGCAGTGTGGTGCCCCACTGTGGGTACTGTGCTAGGATCAGCCTATGACTAGTGTGGTCACCTGTCTTCTTGGTGCAGAGGAGAAGAATCCATACAAGGAAGTTTACACAGACATGTGGGTTGAACCTGAGGCAGCTGCGTATGCACCACCCCCACCAGCCAAGAAGCCCAGAAAGAGCACAACGGAGAAGCCTAAGGTCAAGGAGATCATTGATGAACGCACAAGAGGTAGGAGCCGGGCTCTGGAGAGGGAATTGAGAGCCCTGAGGGTTGGGCATCACCTGGGTGGGTGTCCGTCATGAGCCGTCTCGGCATCCTCCTAAGGTAGGCTTTCATCCTTTGCAGAGCGGCTAGTGTATGAGGTGCGGCAGAAGTGCAGAAACATCGAGGGTAAGTGTGACCTGGCCTGGAGGGTGGGTGGTTTGCTCCTCACAGTCAGTGTGGCCATAGTTGTGGAGTGGCATTGGCATGGGTTCTTGGGAAGGTTGGAGTATTGTGGGAACAGGGACCTATCTGCACAACCCACCATCTCCATCCAACTGATGCTCCTGTTCTTTTAGGATTTGGGAATACCCCCAATGGATTCAGAGAAGGGTCCTTGAGGCCTTGGTTGAACTTGACTGAAGTCGACCTTGCCATTTTCATTCCACCTCCCCTAACCCAGTGGTAATGACTTGACGACAGGGTCTCGTGTCAGTAGGACCGGGACAGGACAGGAGGGCTGCCCAAGGAAGCCCACGCCATGTTCTCATGAGTGGGTTTTGTCCCTGTGTTGTGCTATTCCTGGGTGCTGGTTTAGCTGAAAGAGATGAGTGAGCTTCTGAGATTAAGGACCAACTGCCACCGTTCAGTGAAAATATGCAGGATATTTTGTGAATGAGCACACATGCATGTGTGTATGTGTGTGTTTGTGGGGGGGGCAGGCTGGCATCAGTTGTCCTCCTCAACGTTTCACCTAAGCTGGATGACCTGTGTGCCCCACTTTCTCCCCTCCCAACTGTGGAATTACATGCACACACTGCTTTTTTTAAACTTTGAAAAATTTGTGTGCATATACAGTTAATGTTTACCCCCAACTTGCCCCATGGCTCCCACTGTACTTGACACATGTTCCTTTCTCTTTTTTTCTTAATATTTATTTATTTATTATGTATACAATATTCTGTCTGTGTGTATGTCTGCAGGCCAGAAGAGGGCACCAGACCTCATTACAGATGGTTGTGAGCCACCATGTGGTTGCCGGGAATTGAACTCAGGACCTTTGGAAGAGCAGGCAATGCTCTTAACCACTGAGCCATCTCTCCAGCCCGCAACATGTTCCTTTCTTTGTCTGCCCCATTACTCAGAGTCCAGTTGGTGGATTGTGCCTGACTTTTTAATATGGGTGCAGAGGGTCTGAACTTGGACCCTCTTATTTCCTTGAACCATCTGTCTCTGCAGACCTTTGCTGGTTTTGCCTTTGTCTTGGGGCGGACTCTCCTGTCACTCAGGCTTGTCTTGAACTCACTTTGTAGTCCAGGCTGATAGCAGAGTTTTCTCAGCCTATCAAGCACTAAGGTTATGGCTGTGAGCTACCAGTGTTGGCTGCTGTTGTGACAGCGCTTTGGTGGATGTTGTATTAGCTGGACTCTAGCCCCTGGAGGACAGGGACTCCAGGGATGGATGGATGGATGGATGCTCATGGCATCCTGTTGTCTTACAGACATTTGTATCTCATGTGGAAGCCTCAATGTCACCCTGGAGCACCCACTCTTCATTGGTGGCATGTGCCAGAACTGTAAGGTAGGGATATAGCCCTCCTAAAGAGGGGCCTCCTTGCTGTCACTTGGCGTTGGGATCCAGCGCCTGACTGAATGTGATGCAGAACCCACAGTGCACTCAGACTCCAAAGACTGAGGCTTTAGTCTGTTCTGGTTTACATCAGGAAAGACCCTTGCATGCTGGAGTGTTGCCCCACGTGGGCAGGAGTAGGACTTACAGCAATGGGTGAAGGGTGGGTGGCAGAGAGGCAGGCTGACTGAGAGGTGAGTTGCCATGCCCTTGGGAGCCCCTGTAGCAGACTGCAGTGTGGAACTATGGGTGGGCGGTTCCCTTCTCCACCTTGCTGTCGGGGTCAGAGCCTGCCTTCCATTGGCTCTGCTGCCCCACCCCTGCACTGGTGCTTCTGACCCTTCACATTCACCCTAGAACTGCTTCTTGGAGTGCGCGTACCAGTATGACGACGACGGGTACCAGTCCTACTGCACCATCTGCTGTGGGGGGCGCGAGGTGCTCATGTGCGGGAACAACAACTGCTGCAGGTGAGGCTCGGGCCCCGCCCACAGCCCCAGGCCCATGCTTGCACCGGTCCCTGCTGTCCCAGCCAGCACTCCAGCCTACCACTATCCTTTAGATTGGGTCTGAGACTCCGCCCTCTTCGCTGGGCTTTCTTCCAGGTGCTTTTGTGTCGAGTGTGTGGATCTCTTGGTGGGGCCAGGAGCTGCCCAAGCAGCCATTAAGGAAGACCCCTGGAACTGCTATATGTGTGGGCACAAGGGCACCTATGGCCTGCTGCGGAGACGGGAAGACTGGCCGTCAAGGCTCCAGATGTTCTTTGCCAATAACCATGACCAGGAATTTGTGAGTACTGTCCAGGCTGTGGTCACACCTTCCTGAGGCTGGTCTCTGAGAGCCATTCAGTGGGCTATGGGGCCAGGACAGGATGGGAAGCTGGGGCAGACCCCGGCATGGACCTGACCAATGGCGTTCACCACTTAGGACCCTCCGAAGGTTTACCCACCTGTCCCAGCTGAAAAGAGGAAGCCCATCCGGGTGCTATCTCTGTTTGATGGAATTGCTACAGGTGAGTGGCATGGGTTTTGAGGGACTGGCCTGTGGGGAGTGGAGTAGTACGTTTGTGTATCTGATAAGACTAAATGACTTAAGAACTAGGCACGATAGTGCGTACATCATTCCAGTATTTGGACAGAGGCGAGAGGATCAGGATTTCATTCATAGGCTACACAGTTGGTTCAAGGCTGCCCTGGGTTATGTTTCAAAATTAAAACAATAGCAGGATGATTATTGCTTGTTAAGACTGGGCATGTAATCTCAGCACTCGGGAGGCAGAGGCAAATAGACCTCTGAGTTTATGGCCAGCTTGGTCTATATAGCAAGTTCTAGCCAGCTGAGGCTACATAGTGAGGCTCTGTCTAAACAATTAAAACAATAAATCATGTTACACCTAAGACTGTAGAAGCTCCCTGAGAAGACTTATTGGGAGCATAGAAATGGTGTCACTGTCCCTCATTTTTTGTGCCCCTCCCTGAGTAGGCAGCACTGATGGGGAGTCTGGTAAAGAAGTCACCTTAGCTAGTTAAGAAAAAACTAGGGCTGGAGAGAAGGCTCAGAGATTAAGAGCACCATCTGCTCTTCCAGAGGTCCTAAGTTCAATTCCCAGCACCCACATGGATGCTCATAACCACCTGTAATGAGATCTGGTGCCCTCTTCTGGCATGCAGGTGTACATGCAGGCAGAACACTGTATCTCTGATAAATGAAGGGACTCGGACATTTGCCGTCCAAGATGGGGAAAATCAACTGAGGTTGAGAAGTGGTTCTAGGGGGCTGTTGGGGAGCTGGGCCAATGGCAAAACCTGTGTGTCATGTGAGGAAATAGAATTTCAACAGGAAGTCGTAGGTAGTAAGTCAGCACCACAGTGTAGTCATGGAAACTGTGAGAAGGCCTCTGAAGAAATGACTGTTCCCTCTGGATCTAAAACCACCTGCTGTGTTGGTTAGTCTCCTGGCTTTAGCCACCTTGCTCATAGGCAGAACTGGAGCACAGACGTATGCTTGTCTGTGCTTACCTGCTTTGATTGGGAAAAGATATTAGGGAGCTTTATGTGGGCAAGGTGAAACTCAGGCCTACACGTGGCCCCATGTGCAGTTGGCAAGATAAGTCTTTAAGACTTATCTTAAAGATAAGTTGAGGGCTCTGAGTGATAGTCCTTGCTCTATGCTGGCTGGTACAGGGCTCCTGGTGCTGAAGGACCTGGGCATCCAAGTGGACCGCTACATCGCCTCAGAGGTGTGTGAGGACTCCATCACGGTGGGCATGGTGCGGCACCAGGGAAAGATCATGTACGTCGGGGACGTCCGCAGCGTCACACAGAAGCATGTATGTCTGTTTGCGGGATGTCTCTTTTTCCCCAGTGCCTCAGCTGGGAATGTCACCACCTTCACCTCTCAGTCTGTCCATGTTTTCCTTCTCACCCTCTCCTCCCGCCCTTCCATTTTTCTTCTGTGGCTTGTGAGGGTGGTGAGCAGATTAGAAATGGGAATTTGGGGGCCAGAGGCAGAATTATTGAACCCTTGTCCAGAGGCCCTGAAGCCTTGGTTCAGTCCCCAGCCTGTGTAAAATGGAGTTTGCTTTTCTCTGGTTGCTTCAGGACTCTTCGGGGTAATGTGTTCTGAACTGGAAAGAGGAGAGGCTGTCATCTAGGTGCTTCTGGCAAATTCTTTTACCAGTCTCCCATTTCAGGGGGTTAAGGGAGTGCTGGCACTCTTCCCCTTCGAGCCTGGTGCCCTTGTATAGATCTCTGCAACTCCAGGGGCCGTTCACATTACCCTGGCAATTCGTCCCCCACCTTGAGAAAGGCTGAGGTTTTTTTTGTTTGTTTGTTTGTTTTTTTGTTTCTTTTTTTTTCTGTTTTCTGTTGTTTTTCCTGCTTGACATCTCCTGGGCTCCTTGCTGGGTCTGTTTGCTCACCAAGAAATCAAACCTCAATGACTGTTAGACTCACTGAACTTTTCAACAGCTGGCCCGTCACATTACCTCTGTCTTCCTAGATCCAGGAGTGGGGCCCATTTGACCTCGTGATTGGGGGCAGTCCCTGCAATGACCTCTCCATCGTCAACCCTGCCCGGAAGGGACTTTACGGTAAGTATCTGCCTGGCTCCTGTTTTTTGCGCTGGTATTTTCCACTTAGGTCTTAGGTGTCGTCTTTGGACATTTCTGCCTTGGCACCTCCTCTAGTGACCCCTTTCTCTCACCCTCCCCATGCCCAAGCCTCACCACTGTCTGATGCAAACAGCCCCAGCTGATGGCTTTCTCTTTCTTCCAACCTCTCAGAGGGTACTGGCCGGCTCTTCTTTGAGTTCTACCGCCTCCTGCATGATGCGCGGCCTAAGGAGGGAGATGACCGCCCCTTCTTCTGGCTCTTTGAGAATGTGGTGGCCATGGGCGTTAGTGACAAGAGGGACATCTCACGATTTCTCGAGGTATAGCCAGCAACCTTGGTTTGGCCAGCTCACTAATGGCTTCTGCCGTGGAGCGCTGCTTCATCCCTGACTTGCCTGCATGGTGGAGCTGGGGGATTGGAGCTGGGGACCGGTGGCTTATGTTTGCAAGTGGCAGCTTGAGGAAGACTCCCATGGAGAGAGGCAGCAATGCTAGAGGCCCTCGTAGAAAGAGTGGTCTTAACGTACTCAAGAGGTGGCATGTTAGTAGGCTTCAGGTCAAAAGAGTAGGCTGGGGCCAGACTCCTGAGACTTGGGTTCTATAGAGAACTCATGTTCGGGTTTTTTTGTTTTTTTTCCTGACCAGAATGGCCTATGCTCACTCCCTGGCACCCTGGCACCCGAGATGAAATCATGGTTCATCTCTGCTTTCATTTCCTGTGATGTGAGCCCCAGTTTAGCACTGAGCCAACTACAAGCCGTACACGGGCGGGGGTGGGGGGTTGCTGCTACCCAGAGCATTCTTGGGGTGGGCTGTCGACCTCTGCTCCCATTATCTCTAGCTCAGTAGTACCTCAGGCACAGTAAGCACAGGCATATCAGAGCTTGCTCTCCTGAGCTGAGTGGTCTGATGGAGCCCACAGCCTTGTGGCTCTCCTAGCAAGAGTGAGCCTCATATGAAGCACACACAGGAGACACAGTGGCTGTTGTCATTACAGAAAGTTCATTTAGATTGTGCTGGTCTGTCTAGAATGTTCTAGCAAGCACATGTGGGATGTATTTAGGTTTACTTCTGGCTTTTCGTTGGGCCTTCACGCTGTCCCAGTGTATGGCTTCCTAAGACAGAAGTGCCTCAGAGGCATAAGGCTCTCGGCCCGTCTGGTTACCCAGCAGTTAATTCCTTCTTTGCTCATCTTGAAACCATCTCCTGTTTTACAGTCCAACCCTGTGATGATTGACGCCAAAGAAGTGTCTGCTGCACACAGAGCCCGTTACTTCTGGGGTAATCTTCCTGGTATGAACAGGTTGGTAAGCGCTCCTGGCCTGGGGGATATGAGAGGAGTGGCTGCAGGCAGGAAGCCCGAGGAGGGGGGGTTGCCGGGGGTCCAGCCTGGATTGCCTCTGCTGAGCAGCTGCTGCTCTGTCTGTTGTTCGTGTGTGTATTTAAACACTTGCTTGAGAAAGTAGATATTGCAGATGAAACCTAGTCTTTGTTCCACACAGTAAGCAAGTGCTGTAACATTGAACTACAACCCCAGCCCTGGTGTCTGGGACAGGGTCTCTCGCCTAGTCGGGCCTCAGACTCAGGAAGCCTTGCTTCTTCCTCATCTTGATAGACTGTGTTATTGCTCCCAGCTGATTCTTAACCTAGGGCCGGCCTTTCCTCTCCCAGGCTGCCCCTGAAATACAGCACAGCAACACAGAATTTTACATTTTGGGACAAAACTTTTGTCCCACATAGCTCGGACTAGCCTCAGATTTCTAACTCTTGGACCTCTACCTCCTTAGCACTGGACTTCTCTGGAGAAACTGAGTCATAAAGTGTGCCTTTAGTTAAGGTTTATATTCCAATCACCTCCAGCCACCATACCCAACCATGAAGTAATTACCACAAATCAAGATACAGGTTGCTTTGTGGTAAAGCCAGGTGTAATGGGTTTTAAAAATGTACTTTTTCTCTCTAAATAGGCATTAGCTGCCTAATGTGTGTTTTTGAAATTCTTTTTAAATTTATGTGCCCATAAGGATTAAGGCTTGTGTGGTTGCTTGTGAACAGGCATGTATATAGGGGGTTATGCTGTATGTGTCTATTTGGGGTGGAGGGCTTTAGACCTTGCCCTGAGTCCTGTGCCTGTTGGGGGTTGGCACCTGGATAGGGCTTTCCTTGCTCTGCGCTGCCATGGTGCCTCTTGCTTCCTAGGCCATTGGCATCCACTGTGAATGATAAGCTGGAGCTGCAGGAGTGTCTGGAGCACGGCAGAATAGCCAAGGTCAGCCTCAGCACCCAGGACAAGGGGGGGTAGCTGACGGCAGGATAAGGTGGTGCATGGCAGAGCTGCGCACCACCTGTCCTCTTGGGGCGGTGTGGGATCGTATAGCCAGTTGGCCAGGGAATGGGCTAAGCCTGCTGACCCTTAATCCCACCTGCCACTGAAGGGTCTTTAGCCGGGTTCTGGGTTGTACTTTGGTTAGTATATGCATATGGACATTTGCCGGCTTGTTCTCTGCACCACAACATGTGCACATGCAGAAGTCAGAAAAGGATGTCACATTCCCTGGGAGCAGAGTTAAAAACTGGGAGCCTCCATGTAGGTGCTAGGAATTGGACCTAGGTCCTCTGGCAAAGTAGCCCTTGCTTCTTAGACCCTGAGCCGTCTCTCCAGCTCTGAACTTTTTAGGTTGGGTGTCTCCCTACTACCTAGATCAGTCCCTATGAGGCTTGGCTGGGTCTGCCCCTTTCTGACCCAGAAACGTGCAACTTTTCTACCTCCCCCATTCTCTTTTTGAATCCTGACTAGAACTTAAGAGCGCCTTTTTTTCTGGATTCTTTGAGCTTCCTCACTCGGTCTTTAATGCCGCCCTCGACACACGGCTGCTTGTCCACCATGTGTCTGATCTACACGCTTGCTTGAACGGAATGGCATTTTCCCTCTCTCTTCTAGGCAACTGCTGAACGTTGCAGCTTTGCCTTTCCTGAGTTTTTCTTATAAGCTCTAATAAAATTGTTCTTCCACTTAAAAAGAAAAGATCAATTTCTGTTTTGTTCTTGTGTTGATGGGACCTCAAAGCCTGCAGCACAGAGAGCAGCCTCCTGTAATGTAATTTCTCTCTGGAGGAGTCTCTCCTGTGGCCCGTGCAGTCTAGCAGTCCAGACTGGTGGTCCCCACCGTGTGCCTTTGGACTGCTGAGTCATTGATACCCTTCTGTCTGCAAGCTGCTCACCCCGAAGAGAGCCAGCGTTTTGGAGATTGAGGAGCGAGGTAGTCACAGCTGCTGCCTCTAGGCTGATTAGCTATTACCAAGAATGCCCAAGTGATCTCAGAGTGGGAAGGGAGACAGGGACCAGGAAGGAGGCTTATACTCAGTGACCTGAACGGACTGGACCAGCCAGCCGGTCAGTTATCAGTGAGTGATGCCTGCTCATTCCTCTTCCTCTTCGTCTTCTAGTTCAGCAAAGTGAGGACCATTACCACCAGGTCAAACTCCATAAAGCAGGGCAAAGACCAGCATTTCCCCGTCTTCATGAATGAGAAGGAAGACATCCTCTGGTGCACTGAGATGGAAAGGTAGCTGTACTGGGTGCTTGTGTCTGGCCAAGGCTGCTTTGAAGGAAGGCTCTGTCTTGGCTGCCATATTCTTGTTTCCCCCAGATTTTGGAAGTGAATTTTAACAAACGTTTCCCAGCATGCCAGGCTCCTGGGGAGGACCTGCACATTTCATGACTCGTTCTTATTCAGAGGGGTCTTAGAATCATCCAAAGAACACATTGGAGCCCTGCAACACAGTCCATGCCCTTCTGGACTTGGATTGTGGGTATTTTGGATGTGTTTTGAAGGCCAGTGGTGTGGGTGGTTTGTTTCTGGTGAATGTGAACCTCAAAGCTGGGATTATGTTACCTGTCTTTAAGTCCACAGTGCCTGACACGCAGCTGACTTGGCCGTAAAGGAGAGGGCAGCCTACGTCAGGAATGCAGAGTGAGCTATCTGCCCTGGCACCCACACTCACTCAGCACTTTCTGCCTTCCTCCCACAGGGTGTTTGGCTTCCCTGTCCACTACACAGATGTCTCCAACATGAGCCGCTTGGCGAGGCAGAGACTGCTGGGCCGATCGTGGAGCGTGCCGGTCATCCGCCACCTCTTCGCTCCGCTGAAGGAATATTTTGCTTGTGTGTAAGGGACGTGGGGGCAAACTGAAGTAGTGATGATAACAAAGTTAAACAAACAAACAAAAAACAAAACACAATAAAACACCAAGAACGAGAGGACGGAGAGAAGTATCAGCACCCAGAAGAGAAAAAGGAATTTAAAACAAACCACAGAGGAGGAAATGCCGGAGGGCTTGGCCTTGTGAAAGGGTTGGACATCATCTCCTGAGTTTTCAATGTTAATCTTCAGTCCTATTTAAAAAGCAAAATAGGCCCTCCCCTTCTTCCCCTCCTTTTCCTAGGAGGTAAACCTTTTGTTTTCTACTCTTTTTCAGAGGGGTTTTCTGTTCGTTTGGGTTTTTGTTTCTGGCAGTGACTGAAGCGAGGGTTATTGCAGCAAAATCAGCAACAACAGAAGTAGTAATACCTTGGACAGGAAAGGGAGAGAGGAAAATTCTATAAAAATTTATATATTTTTTTGTTTTGTTTTTGTTTTTTTTCTATATATCTTTGGTTGTCTCTAGCCTGCAGATAGGAGCACAAACAGGAACAGAGTAGAGACCCTCGGGAGGCAGAGTCCCCTCCCAGCCCCTGAGCAGTCTCAACAGCACCATTCCTGCTCATGCAAAACAGAACCCAGCTAGCAGCAGGGCGCTGAGAACACCACACCAGACACTTTTCTACAGTATTTCAGGTGCCTACCATACAGGGAACCTTGAAGAAAACCAGTTTCTAGAAGCCGCTGTTACCTCTTGTTTACAGTTTATATATATACGGTAGCTCTGAGATATATATATAAAAGGTACTGATAACTACTGTACAACCCGACTTCATAACGGTGCTTTCACAACAGCGGGATGAGTAAAGACATCAGCTTCCACCCGGCCTTCTGTGCAGAGGGGTTCAGCCCAGGATGGGGGAGGGAGGCAGCTCCATATCTGCCCCCCATGCCCAGCCTCTCCCTGCCCAAAACGGGATCAAGCTGAGGTGGTCAGAACCTGGGGAAGCTGAGTGTGGAGTTTATCCAGACTCATGCAATAACCTTTGAATATAATCTAAAATGACTGCCTTGTTAAGGTGGTGTGAGAAAACTTTCCCCGCGATTTTGAATTTGTCAGCCACATTGAAGGCTCCTCGTGGGCTCAGAAATAACCCAGAGTGAGGGAAAGCAGTCTGCCATTAACCCCACCTGGAGCAAATAAAAAAACATACAAAATGTGCTGGTGCTTTCTGTCTAAGTTGCCTTTTGTGTGTTCTTTTATGAGGCCCCCACCATCCCTTCTGCACAAGGCAGCTCTGGTCCTGGAATGTGATGTTTTTGGTCATCTCTACAGACTGCAGTTTCGTACTTGGAAGGCTGATGACACCTTTATTATAATTATTCTTATGGTTCTGGTTATAATTGTTTGTTTTCAGATTTTCTTTGAGAAAACAGAAACCCAACACCCTTCCCTTTAGGTTTCAAACCAAGGTGCAGGGGGGTGGGGGTGGCAGGTGCTTCTAAGGCCCAGTGGCTCTGGTGCCCTGGCTCTCACCCCTCGGGCCAGGTGGGCCACTGGGCAGTACAGCAACAAGCTAGGCGGCCAGGGCGTTCTGAGGCCCACCCTCCGGGCCAGTCACTCTTCTCTTCTTCTTCTTCCCCTCCTCGTGAGTCCGGTGTGTCAGGGCCGGAGGGAGGCCGGGGCAGCCTCTCTCCTCGTGTGTGTGGTTGGAATGGCGTGTGTTTCTTTTCTAGTGTTTGGTCTGACAGCTGGGCTCTCACCTTGAGTCAGTGTCACCTGGGGCCCACGTGCTCGCACTTTGTTCCGCTTCCTACCCAGGGCAGGCAGCCTGGTGTCGGCAGTGGGAAGGGAAGGTGTTTGTTGGCCCCGAGGTGAGGGCCCAATGGGCAGAGCTTGCCTGGATGGATGGAGTGTAGATATGTGGCATATAGAGATATATATTTTATAATGGGAGGGGGGACGGCACCTCCTGGGACCAGCAGGGGCTGGGAGGTGTGCTGTCAAGCACATGGTCCCAAGACCGCATCCCTAGAAAGATGGGGCCTATGATAGGCCCCATATAAATACATAGATAGGGTCATGTATAAGAAGTATACACAGTGGGGGTTGGAGGGAGTGGGCTCTGTGTTGAGCCTGGGTCCCTCCCACAGACAGCCCCACACCAGTCAGTCAGTCTAACACATGCACAGGACACACACCAGGGGGCTCCTGGCACACTTCTCCCCAGGATCAGGACCCTGGAGTCAGCCCATGCAGCTCTTACACTTCTGTTGCCCTGATGACAGATAAGACTCGAAGTTGCTAGGTGCTGAAGTCAGGAACAGGAGGAGGTTTGGTCCAAGCAGGTGCTTCCTCTAGCAGGTCTGTGTTCTATACCTTCTGCCCCTGGTGATGTCAAAGATTCTTCTGTTAGCAGCCTGTGGTTACTGACCTGCAACTCTAGGCACCAGTCAAGTCAGCCCTCAACTCCCCCTACCTATTCTCCCCAACCAGAGTCAAATTGAAATCTGTTTTGGTCACTGGGCTTCCATTGGGAAAAGAAAAAAAAATTAAAATGGGACAGGGAACCTCATCTTTGGAATAAAGCGAATTAGTAATTAGTAATAAAACCAAACAAAGCCTTTGGCTCCCTTAGTTGCTGCTCAGGAGTAAGCCCAGCTCGTCACACCTCTTGGGCTGTGATCCTGCCTGCCTCTGCTCATTTTCTCTGGATAGACTTAAGACTGCAGCTAGTTCTCCCTGCTTTGGCAGGTAGAGACTGTGGCCGGAGCATCCACGAGAGGGGAATGCCTGCCCCCTTGAAGTCCCTATGCTGAATGTGACATCCTCCCTTGCTCCAGCAGGGCTCCATTCTGACCTGGAGTCCACCAGCACCGTGCAGGAGGACTGGGGGGGAGGAGGGCTGCCTTAGGCAGTCCAGGGTGCTCCCTCCCCCTATAGCCAATGCCAAGGTCTTCCCAGCTGGCAGGAGTGTCTTCAAGGGCCTTCCTCTTCCACTTCTGCCCACTGCTATGTGAAGAAGCTAGCCTTTCCCAGCGCCACCTCAGCCAGGCCTGTGCTCCCCAATCCTTGGGCTTAGTGTGAGGGCTCAAGAGGAGCCTCCGTGGTAAAGGATATGGCATCCCCGAGGAACTGAGTTGAGGCTTCCAGGTGACTGCCCAATCCTTCCAGCCCATTGTGTGGGCTTGGTCTCACTGTAGCGTGGAGGCACCGGTCAAGTCAGGCATTGACTATCCCCTCCCCAGTCTCTTTTTGGGGTCTTTGGGAATGTGCCAGCTTGGCACAGCCGTGATTCCCTTCATGCACCTCTGTTCCAAGTGAGGCTTCTGGGATCCCATTCAGAGGAAAGCTGCTAGGATGCTGTGGGTACTGAGGTGGGGTTATGGGAAGCTTGTGCAGTGCATCTAGGAGCTCACTGTGGATGGCTGAGGCTAGTGGGGGTTCCCTGTGGGGTCTCCTTTCCAAAGAGAAGGCTTGTTTTCCCTGGAAACTAAGGTGCTAGGGACTGAGTGACAGCCTCCCTTCTGCAGGTGCCATGTGAAGCCTCGTGCCAAAGATCTGTGGCCCTTGCCCAGGGGAGGTAGCCGGTGCTAGCGCCAGGGTCACGGAACCAAGGCCTCCTGTGGAGGCACACATGCCAGCGGGGTCCAAGCTGGTGCTAATTCCTCCCCACAGGACCCAGTAAGCCTGGGAACCTGCAGTAGGCTGTATCTCTGGGGTCGGATACCCTGTTAGAAAGCAAAAGTCCCCTAAAGAGCCTGGACCTCTTCATTTTGGCAGCAGGGCTGGGTGTGGCAGCAGATAGATTGCAAGTAAGTATCCCTGTGGCTGTTGGTAAACAGCGAGTGTGGATTCAGGAGCAACAGGTTGTAGGGCAAGTCGACATTGGAAGGGCCTCCCAGCCCTGATAGCATCTCTCTCTTCTGGGGATGCTCTGTTCCAGTCATCACGTGCTGTGTCCAGGGTAAAGCCTCTGGTTTAGGAGTTGGGGGGAGTTAAGCTGAGTCACTTTGAAAGAATGTGCTTATAGGAAAACTACAGAATGTTGGTTTCTATATTTCTTACTACGCAGTGTGTCCAGAGGAAAGTGAATTCCCAGCTCTGCCTAGATGGGTGCAGGGCTACACTGTCTTCAAGAACTATCGCTGTGAACGGCCCAGCTGAGCTTCTAAGCCGGCCCATGTTTAGATCTGAATTTGGCACTTGACTGCTCACCATGCTTGTGATGAGGTGGGGGTCCCGAGTTGCCCCGCATGGCAAAGAACAGCTGAAGCCTCTCACCCCACTGCATGGCAAAGGTGGTGTTGCTGAGTGATGAGGTTGAGTTAGAATGGCCCTTTTGACTCTTTCTCATTAGTCAGTGCAACAGTGCCAGGTCAGGGGACCCCTAAGGAAAGGGTCACTGAGGGTCATTGTGACCCTCATGTTCGTGCTAAGAGAGCTGAGGTCTTTGGGAAATAAGGATCTTGTGTGCAGGCTTCCAAGACCTGGCTAAAAATCTTTAGCCCCAGGCACTAGAGTTTTGGCCTAGAGACCAAGAAGTAGATCCAGAGGGAGAAATATGGAAGGCCTTTAGCTGGTGGGGGGCTTGGCAGCTTCTCTCGGGGACCCCAGAAACTCCAGTAACTGGCTCCCCTATTGGGTGGAGCTCATGTGTGGGCTCAGAGTGGCCCTCCTAAAGCAGCCCGGCCCCTGAACCTGAGGACATGAGCAGCGGTCTAAAGTCTCACTAGTCCCATTTTACAGACTAATTTGATTGCCCAGCCCTAGAATTCTATAGAAACAACAAATAAAAACTGAAATTCTTTAGAATATGCAGAGGGGAGGAGGTGACTCAACAAGGTGCTAAACACATTTTATTAAAAATATATATTGTTAAATTAAGTCTGCTGTCTGGACAATGATGTTTTGTTTTGTTTTCTTGTAGTGGAGTTTAAAAGAGACTATTATTTTACTCTGATATATTATTATTAAAAAGGCATTTTAACTTTGTACTTGAAAACTAAGTGAGCGATTTCACGTGTTTTAGCTGAGGCATCGAAGTAGCGGGTGCTTTCTCGTGGGAAATCATGTATTCATACTGCAAAATAAACTCCGTAGCTGATTTGGTAATAACGTTTACTGTTACAGGCGACTTCGCTTTGACCCCGGTGGCAGAGCGCTTTTATTCCACATTCCACGCAGCTAAGTGCAGGACCTTCCAGAATTTTCCCTCCCTCGGCCCTCTTTCTTTTTGGTTCCTCTTCCTCTCTCTCTTTTATTTTTTTTTATTGTTGTTTGTTTGTTTTTCTGGTCCCAGCATCCTTCTACCACTGTATTTTTTGTTAGGGTTGCTTCTCTATTTATTGACAATAATAATGTACATTTCACAGTCTGGTTCCGGGACAGCCAGGAGAGGCGTGGGGGCCGCACACAGCCTGCTGCACCACCCGGCGTCCCCTTGTATCTCTGTGTACGTGATGCTTGTGGCATAGCTGTCGATGAAATAATTAAAAAGGTCAATGCGTACAGCAGATGTAGAAAGTCTGTCAAGTTCCGCTTCCATCACATTTTTTTTTGTGCCCAGAAGAATATAATAAAGCTCCTTTCTAATGTACTTGTGCTGGAGAACACTTGAATAAATGGACTGTTTTTGTGCAAAAAGAAAAACGGAAAAAAAAAAGCACCGTCATAATGTCCTTTTGTCCTGCGTCTCCTCCCCGCCTCCCCCCCATGTGACAGCTCACAGTCCTCCAGAGGGCTGAAGTACCCAAGAGGGTGCAGATAATACCGGGGGAGGGGGGATTTCTAGAGTATCGCCGGTGTGGTGGTAACTAGGTAGGGGCTGGGACCCAAGGATGGGGAGTTTGCTCAAGCTCAGAAATAAGTTAGATGAAGTTGTCTAGAAAGGCATTTTAACTTCCGGAAACAACAGATGTCTTGAGACCAGAGCAGGAAACAGACCGGCGTTCTGGTCAGATGCCAATAGGTGGACCCAGTGGGGATTTACTTACTCCAGGGGTCCAAAGAGAAGCAGTCTGAGAGGTAGACAGCTGGGACTGGGGCTGGGAGAATCCTGGAAGAACCTGAGATTTAAAGGAGGTATTTGCAAACAAGGGCCCGGATAAGTAGCCAATAGGGCTATTTCTGGGCGGCTTACAGGCTGCCTGGCAGGGCCTGTGGTCCACCAAGTTGTAAGGTCTGTGTGTCCTACATATCTCCAGCAGTACCCAGCAGACTTGACCAGGTGCCCACGCCTAAGGATTGTTCAGGCCGTTTATTCCACCAGGTTTTTGGGAGGTTAGGATGGCAGAGATACCATGTGGGGGAGCAAGTGGGAAGCCCTGCTGAACAGGTTTCCTCATGGGCACTTTTTCTCGCTTGTTTTTTTCTTTCTTTCTTTGACAAGGTTGTAAATGTATATTTGACTTTTACGCTACTTTTTTCTTGATGTTTTTCAATGTTGATGTGGAATCTTACTTTCAAATGGCTGCATGGCATTTTCTTGTTGAATGTTTGTTTATATATATTTTATTTTCGCTATAAATAGAGCTTCAATAAACATCTTTATGTTTTGGCTTCCCCCTTTTTGTATTTTTTTCCTCTTGAAATAGATTCCCAAAAATGAGACCAATTGGAGAAAGTTACAGTGGACGTTTTGGTCGGTGCCCAATTCCTGCCAAGAGGTCAGCAGACAGGGTATGGGTGTCAGCTCTGAGATTCTGTCTGGCAAGAAACAAACTGGGCCCATACTGAGAAGTGTCTCAGCCTGTTCTCACAGGGTCCCCAGAGCTTAAGTGACTTAGAACAGAAGATGCTAATTTAGCTCACTGTTCTGGATGCTGGGTCCAGAATCAGGGACCTTGGTGTTGTCATGACAGACAGGGCAGAAAAGAGTTCAGACTCCCTTCATTGGGAACTCTCTTCTCAGAGGCTCTCAAATGCTGTTACAGAGCTATAAACCACACGGAACCCATGGCACACACATTAACCCCAGGGGAATGTGTGTGTGTGTGTTTGCACATGTGAATTTCACATTACATGACAAAAGGGCACAACCTTGGGTGTGAGAAAAGCAACATGGCCTGCCCCAGCCCACTACCCCACATGTACCCATTCCAGCGCTGGGGTTACAGGGGTACAGCCACGCCCAGCTTTTTACATAGGTTCTTGGGATTGGATTCAGGTCCTTACACTTACACAACAGGCAGGCTTACCCACCAAGCCATCTCCCCAGCCCAAGACTTAGTTTTGAGAAGCTAGACAGAAGAAGCAGGGGGTGCAGGAGCTTGCAAATCCAGGCAGGGACAACACAGCCTCAATCTCCAAGACTGGCTCCAAGGCTTAGGAGAGAGGGGAAGACGTGGAGAGGTGGGGGAGAGATAGGTGTAGACATCCTTGTTCTGAAAGCCATGCATAAATATCTAAAGGCCATCCAAGCCTGGGTTGGGAGAGCGTACTCAAGGCAAGGAGCTGCCTGCCATTTAGTTAGTAAAAATCGATTGATAGGATCTCTGTGAATTTGAGGCCAGCCTGGTCGACAGAGTGAGTTCCAGGACATCCAGGACTACAGGACTACGCAGAGAAACCCTGCCCTGACTCCAAAAACCAAAAACCAAACCAAACAAACAAAACACCCCAAAACCTATTGGTGAAGGAAACTCCTGGTGTCCCTTGATAATTTGAAGGGTCAGGGATGGTGTGCAGAGCCAGGGCTGATAGAGTCACGGAAGATACCAGCTACAGAGATACCCCATACCTAGGTGGTGTGTGGTGCATACACTCCGCTACCCGGGCCGAACTTCAGGTTCTACTCGGGACTGGTGGGTCTCTGAACAAAATAGATGGGACAGGAGCCTGCTGTAGCTGACCAGGAGGGAGGCTTGGAGCACACATCAGAGCTGGTGTGGGCTTTTGCGTAATCTCTGGTCATGTGTGTGCGAATGGGGCCTGCGGGGACATAAGAAGATGGATGTTGCAGATGGGAGCACCTGTCAGTCACCAGGTGTCACCTGCAAGAATCCATTCTGCCTTGGCTTCAGGGCACATTGAAAGGGTAAGCCCTTTCCCTCAGTGGTCCTGCCCCTCCTTGACTGGGACTCTGTGACAGGGGCAACTGAGTTGGGAGGAAAGTCAACTTGGGGAGCTGAAGGGCAGCTGTAGGATAGGAGCTCAAATAACATTAAAAAATTGATTTTCATTCGTGTGTATGCCATGTGCATGCAGATTCCCTTGGAGGCCAGAAGAAGCGTCGGATTCCCTGGAGCCAGAGTTGCAGGCTGTGGTGAGCTGCCCCCATGTGGGTGCTGGGTGCCTCTGGAAGAGCAGCAAGTGCTCCTAACTACACGTGGTTTAACAGGGTGGCAAGTTCAAGGGCAGCCTGGGCTGCCTTTGATGCAGTCTGAAAAACAAAATGCCCCTCCCCCAAGGCTTCGGCTCCCTTCTGACTTTCCCCATCTTTGGCCCCTTAAAAACTGATGCTTGGCTGGGTGTGATGGCACTCACCTGCCTTTAATCCCAGCACTCGGTAGGCAGAGGCAGGAGGATCTCTCTGAGTTTGAGGTTATCCTGGATTACATAACCAGTTAGTGCTAGGACAACCAGGACTATATAAAGAGATCTTAGCTCAAAAACAAAACAGACAGGGGCTGGAGAGATGGCTCAGTGGTTAAGAGCATTGCCTGCTCTTCCAAAGGTCCTGAGTTCAATTCCCGGCAACCACATGGTGGCTCACAACCATCTGTAATGAGGTCTGGTGCCCTCTTCTGGCCTGCAGACATTCACACAGACAGAATATTATATACATAATAAATAAATAAATATTTAAAAAAAAAACAAAACAGACAGAACACAGTGGTCCTTTAATACTGTTCCTCATGCTGTGGTGACACCCCCCCAACCATAAAATTAGCTTTGTTGTTACTTCATAATTGCAATTTTGGTACCAAATCGTAAGGTATGGGCTGGAGAGATGATTCAGTGGTTAAGAACATTGGATGTTCTTCCAGAGGACCCAGGTTCAATTCCCAGCCCCCACATGGACGCTCACAATGGTCTGTAACTCCAGTTCCGGGGGATCTGACATCCTTACACCAATGCACATAAAATTAAGTTTAACTAAATTTAAAAAAAAAAAATAGTCAAAGTAAATAACTGAAATGCAGCCCTGTGAAAGGGTCATTTGAGCCCAAAGGGGTCGCACTGTCTATAGATTGAGAAACACTGGTTAGACCTGAGTTTGATCTTCAGAACACACATAAAAAAGATAAATGTGGGGTCAGCAAGATGGTTCAGCAGGTAAACTTGCCCAGGGCTTCAAAAGACAGGGTTTCAAAAAAATAATCACCATAACGTGACTGTGGTATTTTGACAATGATACTATTGATATTGTCTGACTGACTGTGGCAGGTCCTCAGAGGGCTATCCCTGCGCATGCTTATGCCACCCTCCGTGGGTTTCCCGGTCCCCCCGCCCCAGTAGGCAGCCTGCCCAGACTTCCGAGTAACAGGAAGATCCCTACCCTTCCAGAAGGGTCCTGCATGCCCACCCAGCACACATCCTCACTCTGGGCAACCAAGGTCACCCTGAGATCCAGACACTGGGCCTGCAGTTGGGTACAGTTAGCCACTGAGGGTCGCAGGGCCTGAGGCCCTTAGTTACTGCTTGGTGAGACAGTGCCACCGTGTCCAGGCCATGTGACAGTGTGGTTGGCAGAAGGCCACGGTCTCTAGAACTCTAGTAGTTGGCTGCCTAGGACTGTACCCAGGTGCCAACTCAACATTGCCCTCACTGCTCTGCTAATTGGCTCAGGCCAGGTATGAGGACCAGACTTGAGGAGCAGAGATCTAGGAGTGGGTGTGGATTCAGTGAATCTAAGCAGAAGAAATCAGACCAGCTCAGAGGTTGGCTAGGTTTCTCCATCTGTGAAATGGGCTCAATGAAGAACCTCCCCCAGGTTGTTGGGGTGTAAAATGTGTTGGGTTCTGGAAAATGGGCACCACCTTCTGGTCTTAGTATTGAGCCATTGTTTCTCCCCGTGCTAGAACTCAGTCCTGGCTCCTTTCTCTTCCTCCAGCCAGTCTGGGCGGAGGAAGGAGCCCCAGCCATAGAAGACAGACAGGCCTCTGTCATTTTGATGGCTTCTTTCCTACCTTCCCTGCAGACTTTCCTGTGTAGCCAGGGCTGTGTAGCGGCTGACATTATAGGGATTTAGACTACCCATAAAATTGCCTGGAGCCCAGCTGCCCGAGCCAGGGAAGGCAACTAGGAAGAAGGTTCCAGACCGCAGCCCACGGCCCCTTTGGGCTGTGTCCCACATCTTCCTTCATTCGCTCGTTTTCCCTCTGACTTCCCAGCCTCAGGTCCAACCTGTAGCACCTGTCAGCCTCATCTCTGGCTCCTTACCAGGTTCCTGTGACCTCTGGCCTCTGGCTGCTCAGAGCTGACCACAGTGCCACCCTGGGCCGGTGAGCTGTGATGGAGGTCTGTGTGTGTTTCTTGAAATATAGACTCCTTTCTTTTCCAGTGGTAGCTGGGGTTTTCTTCTAAGAGGGCTTGGCTTGGTCCCCCAGGAAAGGCCACACTGGGAGTCATCTGGTGAGCTGGTGAGCTGAAGCCTGGGCTATATTATGCCATTTCAAAAAAAAAAAAAGCACTTCCCCCCAAAAACCAACAACAATAAGCAAAACTCCACCCTAACCCCCAAAGAAAGAAACCACTGAGACATGGGAGAAAGGGCTTTCAAAGTCAAATCTCTCAGCCACTATCTCCCTCTACCTGCAATTGTGTTCGTTAAAAGTCAGTTCCTTAGGGCCTGTGAAATGGCTCCATAAGTAAAGGCCCTTGCTGCCAATCCTGGTGACCTGAGTTCAATGGCCAGAATTCATGTGGTGGAAGTCGGGAGAGCTGAGGTCTGCAAGTTGTCCTCCGACCTCCACATGTCTGCAGTGGCACGTGTGCATCCATGTGCCCATGTACACACAAACACATGTAAGTAAATGTAAAAAAACTCAAAGACAATTCCACCGTGATATATGTAGACTCACGCTGACCCTTGTGTGGGAGTGGAGAAGTCTGCAGGGGATGGGCTAAGGCTGCTGTCTGTGTCCTGGTTGTGACTGCTTCCGAGAGGCCTTTAGGAAGTGGAGACGGGTGAAGTAGTAGTTCAAGCCCAGTCTTGGTTACTTTTATCTAGTTTGAGGCCATACTGGGTGACCTGAGGCGGTTTCACAAAATGTCCTCCAAGAGACAAAAAGAAAAAAAGAAAAAAAAATCCAAGCCCTAACCTATAAATACCTTTTTTCCATTAAAAGAAAAAGCAAAGCTAGGGAAATGACTCAGTGTGTCAAGTGTGAGTGCCCACATGAACACACACACACACACACACACACACACACACACACCACACCACACACACTAAATCTTAAAAGAAGAAGGGAGGGAAGGAAACCGCAGTTGCAGTTTTCCGCAAGAACCCTGGTCAACTCCGCTTCTTAGCGCATTCGCCAGGTTAGGCTACAGCTATGACCGGTCCTTCACGGCTCACAGCCCTTCCGGCTTCCAGGCTTCCAGCCAGGCCTCTG